TATATATTATTAGCTCAGTCTTTAAACGTAATTTCATAGAGAGATGTGTGAATAATCAGTATCGAGTTTTTAATGGACGCGGTATGCGCGCGATCTTGCCTCTTATTTTTCTCTTTGTATTTCTTGCAAACAATTTGCTATTTCAATAGCAAGGGAACAATTACTTGACACCTTTCTTTTCTCTAATTCTTTTTTAATTTTCTCGCTAATCCGAGATTCAATACACGCGTGCAGTAAGAGTTTATATAATTGATATAATTACGTTCATTTAATTTATCTGCTTTGCAATGTCTTTCTATAATAATAATAATAATAATAGTAATAAATTAGGAACCACGTATACAATATGAAATATGAAAAATTAAATTAGAATACACTTTCATTAATGATAACTATTTTATACATTAAAAAGATACTATTTGTATTCGCTTTTGTAAATGTTTAGGCCACGCTCTCGTTTCTTTACGTTCTCTCATTCTCTCTCTCTCTTTCTCTGCAGTAAGCAGGAATTTCGAACAGTTCGAATAGAGAGTCGTTTGTGTGTCGTTGTTGTTATTATTATTATTAAATGTATTTCGAAGCGATGAGTGACAGATGTGTGCGTAATTAATATGAAAAACGTGTAACAAAGCATTTAGAAAAGCTGTTCTTTTATACTCTCGAGAGTATCTACAAATTTGAATTGTCGTTTAATGTCTTCAGCACCTTCTCTGTCACTGTTAGAATATACTTTGGACGAATTATATAATTATAAAAATATGCATTTCGGATTTCTTTTTTTAAGCACAGCGTGATACAACAAAGTACCATGATAGGTTGTAATACAATGTAGTACGACGAAAATGTTGCTGTTATTATAGTCGATATTATCGAAGATCCGGGATTATTTTAACGTAGAATAATTCATTATTTACAAGAAGCTGAAACGAAATGACAAAGAGGCCCAGCCTCAAGCTATGTCCAAGAAAACATATTAATCCCATTCTATTGCATCTTAAAATAGCATTTTTTAATGCTGCTTAAATTAGAAATCAAGTAATCATAATCTGAATATGAAAGAATTCGAATAATACAAAAATGATATGTGTAAAAAAAATCATGAATAAATCTTTTAGCGATTATGTATGCAATCAGAGATAAATTCAAGTCTTTTTTATCTAAATAAATAAATAAGTAATAAAACGAGAACGGTGTATGATTAATATGATTGGGTGCTATAGCATTTTCCTTGATTTTGAAATGCAATAACCGATATATTTATTTTATGTATTGAACAAATACTAATGAAAAATGATTGGGACTAATATCTTGCAGAATCATACATGTACTACATATCTCATTCCACATTCACTTCATTATTTTGAAAATAAGATGAATATAGAAGATAAATAGAAATTCTCAATTTCCTTTCATGTAAACGTCACACAGACGAAATATAATTAGGTTTTCTATTATGAAATTAGTAAATTATGAGCTGCGCTTATACAAAGTCATTGAATTAATTTTTCTAGCATATTTGTTTTTCTACTTTCTCTCTATCTTTCTCTAATGACATATTCTGTCTTTTACATATACTTTTTTTTTACAGATATACAGAAATAAAGATTGATTTCACTACAAGTGTATCATTGCGTGTATGTTCCATATGCCTAAGATTTATTAAATGATATTTCATTAAGAGCAAAGCGTGTTGAGAAAATATTTTGTCAATACATAACAATTCAACGTCGGATGGCGATCTGACGTCAATAGATTTTTCTAACCAATTATTAAATAGATAGCATATTTATTTTGAGCGGCGAAACGTATTTCATATGCGCTTATGAAACTATTGCTTTCTGGTAAGACGTCGGATTTATATAATTTAAATTTAAATCCTAGAGACTTCTACATATAAGACACATATGTTCATTATTAACCCTTTGATACTAATGGTACGATTAATCGCGCATTCACAAAGATTATTTTGGAAGAGCCTATTATAAGCATACAATGCAAACTATAGTAAATCGCAATATACCAGATGTTCGCGGGGCAAACGCCGCGAGGTATCATAGAACACATTCATTCGTGATACATCATTATCCAGGAGCAAATTGTGGATCAAGGTTTTTTACCAGCGTTTGTTGTCGAATACGGATAGCATGTACCAAGCATCAAAAGGTTTTATCTTGTCTATTATTAGCGATTTTCGGCTATAAATTTCGTGTTTTACGAGAAGATTTGTTTGTTACTAGCATGTGTCAGCGTCCTGCGCTCATAATAACACAGCGATTCGTCGTTGAACGACGCTCGTCGCGGATGTAAGACAGATAAACGAGCGATTCCATTTGATCTTTTCCGATCAAACATATCGAAGCTACACGTCTTGCTTTCTTACGAAAGAGAGTAGAAAGGCACTACTTTTACAACTGATGCATGTATCTCTCTTTTTATTTTTTTCTATCTTGATAATGACTTGCGACAATACTAAACGCGATACTAACGTTTGCATGAAGACAATATTCAATGATTCCTGTCATTTTCAAAAAAATAATATATACGGAAATGTTTTGTCTCGAACATCACATTTTTTGTATGCGAGGTGTTTTCCATTTTCTCATTTTTTTTTTTCAAATGAAAGAATTGTACCGCGGATGAATCATTGAGATACTCGTTGGAAGGAATACACGCGATAATCGACGAGCGTCGACCGTCCCTTCGATCAAACTCGAGGAATTCGAGTGCGGCAATACGGGAATGTCTCGACACGAGGATCGAAGGGAGCCGAGATGCGTCGTCTCGGTACATGTGTCATCAGCTCAGAAATTGTACTCAATATACTTGACTCGCTTTGTTTTCTCAGCACCGCGTTAAGATGTTTTGAATCAAATGGATATTGCTAACAAGTTCGCTACTAAAGGCTACTAAAGGCCGCTGCTATCTCGAGATATATCTCTCACTATCATCGATATTTATTCGACGGTATTTCGTATGTTTCGCGTGATGTCGATAATGAATCGTCGCAGCGGAACGCGTCGTACGTGGACGGTGCGTCAGGTAGTTTGCTATTGACTCGGATGCTTGCTTTCGCTGATGGACGCCATCCTCATTGATTCCGCTTCTGAGCAATTCCAGC